CACGGGCCAGAACACGAACATGCGCTGAAATCCCCTCGGGCCAGAAGCGTGAGGCTCGACCGAATTCTTTCGTGTAGCAGAAAGCTTGTCATCCCAGATCGGGCGGCTAGCCACTCTGAAAATTATTACAATTCATCTTGTGGCACATGGTACTGCGTGGTGTTATTCAAGTGACAGAGGAAAACGTGGGCTTGTCATAAACTTATGAGCAGGCATTGGCTAGACGATTCATGGCCCGTACATTTTGGGCTCGTCAAGATTGGCCTGGTCAGGAACGTGGGCTGGACATGGAGAACACGTGGACTGGACATGTAGGACATGTGGGCTGGACATGGGGAACATGTGAGCTTGCCAGGAACTTGTTGGCTGGACATGGGGACCATATGGGATTGCCAGGAACATGCAGGCTTCATCCAGGCCAGGCGTGGGGCAGGGTCGAACATACCAGATGTTTCTGTTTGGCACGGCTGTATACCACCAGTGCCCGTGTCTTGAGTATAAAAACGAGTGGGGCAGACATGGGGCCCATGAGGGTTTGTCAAAAACTTAATGGTTTGCATCTGGGCTTGGCATGGGCGGACACATATTATGGGCCCTTTCCACCGCCCATGTGCAAAAACCACGCGCGCAGTGTGGGATTACCAGATGGTGCCCATATACGAGACCACATGGGACCAATGTAGTGCCCATCTCTTTGTAGGGGGCTCTCGTGGCCTAAAGGTTAAGGTGTTGGCCTCTCATTCAAAGGTCCCGGGTTCGAATCTGGGTAGCGACCGAAAAATGTTCTTCTCTAAAATTGTATCCTTTCACTTCCTTTCCTGCTCTCTAGCAATATTCTGTCGTCTGCTTTCGTCTCCTCTTTCTGCCCCCACCCCATCACCCCCTTTGCCCCCTCCTCTGGGCTCCTGACTCTTTCTGCAGCCTTTCCACTGCTACTCATTGACTCCTTCTTACAGCTGTCTTTCTGCCACACCTCTGATCTTCTGGTAGGAACGATCTTTACCTAGCCTTCTCGGACAAGGGCGAAAAATCTCGGAGAGCCCGTGTGCAAGTGCCGCGTGTTAAAGATCCCCTCGTGGTCAAAATCGATAAGAGTACCGGTAGGCTTCGGCCGCCACCTGGGCAAAATTCAAAATTTCCTACCAACTAAAAGTATTAGGTGTGTCCCGCGCGCTCATATGACCTTATGCAGTTGCGAGCGCCGTAAAACCCTCTACTATAAAAAAAAGACATATTTGGCGGATTGTCCAAAGGTAGGCCTAAATTAAATTGTATTACAAGTATTTATGCTGTCGCCAGAGGCTATTTTGAATTAAGCAGAGTTTCTGAGAATTTTTGAGAGAGTTTAATCGAGGAAACCAACTTTATTATAGAATACTGACACAAGAAAAAGATGCCTGTGGTTAGTGGGCGCCCCGCCACTGTTTGTGTATTTTAATTCTTCCTTACTTGGGATGGCTTCTGCATGTTGTCTCAATCTGCTTTATGGGGAAATCGTGGTGAATCTTGTCCTGACTCCTAGCTCGTAAAGATGCACATCAGTGTTCATCTGATAAACGCAACTGTTAATTCGAGTCAACAGCACAATACAATTCAAAGCAAATTAAAAATTATAGTACAGTACATTTATTACGAACTCGCGAAGCACGAATTGTCCGACTTCGCACAGAAAAAAGTTCAAGCGTTAATTCCCTTGGAATTGTTATCAAGGTAAACAAAATTCGCTTCTGAACTTTCTGCACTCCTGCATTGGACTGATGATCAAAGTCATAAAATCATGTCTCTGGACAATTCTCCTAGAGATACTCCGAAGGTGGCTGGCTGATCATTAGATCTAGGCCTAAACTCTAGAATCTAAGTCTATGCGTTCGGATGTTTGCAAAACTGAACTAACTTCACAGAGACGTCAAGGTTCTGAATGACTGAATTGTCTGAATGGCTTGTGGTGAGTTGAGCAAGCTTCCCTCTTCTTTTAACTTTAACCGGAACCCTCTTGTCTTGATCATGACAGTTAGATATCTAATCTAGGCCTTGTCTTGATCTAGATCTAGAATCTAGTAACTTAGTTACGCTACACTGTACAATAACAATTTCAAAAATTCAGTGACGAATGACCGAATGCCAAGAAAAAAATGTTCAGAACTCCTGACAGAGCCTCTCGCTGAGATTCTAAAGATGACTTTTGATATTTATGCACTGTGCCGTATTATGGTGTATGCCTGCTTGTAGTGTCATTTTAGACTAACAGAGGTACAGTATGTGTGTGTGTGTGCGGGGGGGGGGAAGGGGGGGTGCTCTTTTGGTTTGGAGCGATGGAAAATTTTCTTTTTGTTCACCTCCTTTCCTGATCTCTCGTGTTTTGTCATCTGCTTTCATTTCCCTTTTCTGCGCTCTCCCCTTTGCTCCTGGTCCTCTGGGTCCTGACTCTTTCAGACGCCTTTCTACTGCTACTCCTTGGCTCCTTCTTACAGCTGCTGTCTTTCAGCCACACCCCTGATCTTATGGTAGAGTATAAGATATAGACTAACTCACTTTAAAAGCCTTCTCAGTAAGGGTGAAAAAACATGGAGGGCCCGTGTGCAAGCTGAGCTCATTAAAGATCCCTTGGTGGTCCTAAAATTGATAAGAGTAGGCTTCATCCCCCACTCAGGCAAAATTCAAAGTCCCTACCAAACTGTAAAAAAAAAGTTTAATTTGTCCCATGAGCTCAGACATGCAGTTGCAGGGCAGGCACTGTTGTAAGACACTTTTTTAAAAAAAGCCTGGGGTTTGGGGAGGGAGGCTGATATGTATCATGTAGGCTATTATTTTGGCTTTATGGCCCTTGATTTTGATTCAGTTCAGGGGACAGAGGAGTGAGAATCTGTGAGTGATATTAGATAGACAATAGTTGAGATTATATTGTGGCATTGGAGGGGTACCTAGGGGCAGTTGGAAATATTCAAGCTCTGTGCCATTATTTTCCCAGTGCATTAAATTTCTATTGAAATTATTGCTTGTTCTTGATCACTGATAATTAGGACAAGTAGGGTGAGTGACCTGGTAGAAGTAGAAGGATGCATCTCTTTTGTACCTCATCTTGCAGCTGACAAAAGGATTTTTATAATTATTTGCAAATATCTGCTATGCATCCTGCAATCGTTTTATCTTGTCTGGAGTCATACTGCTTGTGCATTTCCTGTTCATTCATGAAGTCGCTGTTGTTCTCTTTTCCTAACCATATGTTCTTAAGTTCCGTCAAAGCATGCTAGATCTGAGTGATAATCAGAATTCTTGGTGACATCCTTTTGTTGAAAGTCATTGAGGGTGCAACAAGTATTTCTGCAAAGTCCTGGGATATAATGTTTTTGCAGTTGAAGCAAATACTTTTTAAAATGAAGATAATGAGAATGAACAAAAACAACAATGGATTAATTGTTAACAATGGGTTACAGGGCATCTTTAAATTCTTTAACGTATAATTCCGCAGCTTCACTTTCATGACTGAAAAAATAATGATTAAGAGCACCCTTCTACAATGAGATTACTTTCAAGATTTTGATCACAGTATTAAAAAAGACCCCATGACTATAATTTAATGAAAAGCCTGAGAGGTTTTAAAAACAGAATTTTGCATTTATGCAGCTTGCAAATATCTGGACTGGAAAATCGAGTTGTTTGTTTAAAAAAAAGCCCTGCTGGGTGTACCTGTGAAGCCACTTGTTTAGACAACTACTGAGTAAGCACACACTTGGAAATCTTAGGATAAAGTTGTATGTCAAAGGCAAATACTTTAAAAATTGTTTGTTAACATGTGGGAATAGTGTGAAAGACTCCTCACACAAAACACAATCGCATTAATTTTGTGACAAATATTTGTCTACCTGTTCAGAACTTAAAGTTGCAGATGTTTGAGATTTCAGTATTTGACTTTTGAAGCTTGCCTCTTGGTGATCTTTATTTTGTTGAAACATGGCTAACAATAACTCCTGTTATGGAAATGACAATTACTCTGTGTTGCACAATCATATCTGCACTTCAGAATCCTTTTCAGAGAATCAAAATAAATATTCACAACAACTAAGACACAGTCTAATGCCAAATTCTAACACATTAAATACTGATGCTCATAATGAAAGCAAGCTGAAAGCAAATCAACTTCATCAGGAAAAATTATGTAAGAATATGAGATCTTGTGACAGAAATGACGACAATGACAAGGAAACTGATTCATTGCCTCTATTTACTATTGGTGATGAATGTAAAATTCACAAAGAAAACTTTTACTTTCAAGTTAATCTTAAAGACTCTTTAAAGGATTTTGTTACTGAAAAAAGTAAGCTTATACACAGAAATATTGGTGGCTTTAAATATGGTCACCTAGCGGAAGCAACTCGACCAGGTAAGAAGAAATATATGTTTTTTCTGTGTACAATTTTGCATGCATTTTGTTTTTCCATTAGAGGAAACGGTGAGGTGGGGGAATGATACCGGAACTATATGTGGCTTTGCTTTCGCTGGTGTATACAGTGCTACAGTGAGTGAAGGAAGATTTTTACACAATCTAGAATGGATACTTTAGTTTGTTATATATGGAGTTTTCATTCTGTCACATCATTGTTTATCTTTGAAAATGTTACTTTTGTCCCAATTTGCTTTCATGTAAAATGAATGTGGCTGTTATAATATATATTCACTGTGCTGACTTGATATATAGAGCTGCCTGTCTCTATTTTATTATCTCTCTTCAAAAGCTGAAAGCTATGGGGATCATAGGTATTTTGATTGTAGAAATTGCGTTATAAAGTGGAAACGTAAAAATATATTACTCTACACATGTCAAAATATTGTAAAAATTCTCAGAAAAAGGGCTCCCTCAAGCTAATTGTGTAGAAAATAATGTGTTCCTACAGTTGCTCTCTCTATTGTCTGCCCCACCCCCACCCCCTGTCCTAAAAGTATTTTTTTAAAATCTAGAATAGAATGAATGTGAATATTGTAGAGTATATATACAGACCTATATGAAATTACAGCCTGACCTCCCTTTTTCGATACAAATAAGATGAAACAAGATAAGATATCTTTATTGTCCAGATGCTGTCACATTGGATTGATATTTTTGCACGCACACACACACACACACATACACACACACGCACTCACACACACACAAACACACACACACACATATACACACACACGCACACCCCCATACACAAACACACACACAGGCACGTATACACACACGCATACATACACTTGCACACACACATACCCCCCTCTCTCTCTCTTTCTTTCTTTCTTTCTCTCTCTCTTTTTTTCCTTTCTCTCTCCCCCTCTCTCTCTCTCTCTCTCTCTCTCTCTCTCTCTCTCTCTCTCTCTCTCTCTCTCTCTCTCTCTGTCTCTCTCTTTCTTTGTAAACCCCCCCCCACCTCTCTCTCACTCAACGTACCCACACACACATACATGCACGTGCACACCCACACATAACGTTTAGGAGGAGGTGGGCAGGAGTGACATAATACAGCTTAACAGAACAATTATGGAGATACTCGATAAAATAAGAATTACAACGAACTGTTGTGTTATAATAAAATTATTTAACATGTTCTCATTATTTCCAGTGTGACTTATATTACAGTCATGGTACCAATAAAATCTGTTTTTTAAATTTATTTATTTATTTTATTTATTTACTTGTTTTAATTTTTTTGGTGTTTTTTGGGGGGTTTTTTTTTGGGGGGGGGGGGTTTAGCCGTTATTGTGTGGATCCACTGAGAACTACAATTCCACAAACAACCCCCTTGCCCCTTTTCAGTTTTTCTGTGCTCTGGGAGTCTTCCCACTTTAGAAGGAAAACATAATAATATATGAATGACTTTTTTTCTGCCCTCTGACAGCTTATCGCCGCATTCAACATTGTATGTCAACAATTCGAAAAAAAATTAGAAGAAAATGGAATAATATTGTAGAGTTTGCTGAGGCGCATCGATAGACCCTTGTCTCATTCCCCATCTCAATATAGTAACGGATTTAGACGAACGAGACATTTGTGTTACATAATGTTCAGCCCGAAATTTATACAACCGTTTTTTTTTTTTCGTTTATTTCCCCCTTTTCTCCCCCCCCCTGAAAACCTTGTATTTTGACATACGACAATGATGATTGACGACGACGGGCTGATGTGACTGTGACCCAAGCAATGCCCTTATGTGAGCAAACGAGGGGTCGTTTTGTGATGTTAACACCGACTTCCTTTGACTCCCCCACGCTCTGTTCTTTATACTGCACTCTGTACATTCTATCTTGTCGCCGTGTTTACGGGATTTGGGCTCAAAGTTATGATAACAAACTACGAAGCTGGGTGTTGGACGGAAGGTGAACAAAGTAAGCTGATGTCTTGCTCGTGATGACGCTCTGACAAGCTTATTTACATGTTTACCCATGTTAGCCCTTGAGAGTACATCATTATAAACAGTTTATGGCAGTGAAACAATCCAGCATCCCGGTTATGCGTAAACTTGCTGGGAAGTTGGAGGTGTGGAATGGATGTAAGCCATCTGTATCTGATGGGAAGTTACAGCTGAGGATAATGTTTTTTTATGTTTCTGATAGGCTAGGGAAGGACAGTGTGTAGTGTAGAGAAGTGTTGTAGTGTTGTGTGGTGGAGACAAAGATTCTCTAACTAGAGAATGTTTGGTGGGGGGTTACATGTCATGTGGTTAAAAATATCTTCTTTCATAGAAGACAAAATTAGGCTGAAAAAAGATAGGCAGGCGATTAGAGGCATATTCTAACCTATACACCGGTTGGAAAAAAGATATGATTTAATTCTAGGTGTAGCTGCAAACCGGTAAATTGTCCCTAAATTGTTGTTGCTTCATTAAATATTATTATATTAACTTTCTTGATGTTAATCCATTGTCCACGAAATACATAAGTTTGCAGAAGTTGGGTCACGTTTGT